ATTCAAATTATTTAATAAATTATTTATTTTTGTATTTAAATAATTGGATTCTAGTAGAATTTTTTTATCAAAAATTGATTTAAAAATGAATTTCAGTTAAAATTTTAGATAATAATTAAATATTAAAAGCAATACAGCGTGAATTTTTAGAAATAATTAAATTTTGAAAAGGTTTGAATTTGAAATTTTTGAAAATCTGAATTCTTTATTTTTTTAACTAACAATTCTGTAGAATTATTTTTTTTGAGAAATTTTAATTGCGAATTTTTTTTTTTTAAATTGTAAATTGTAAATTCTAAACAAATGAATTTGAAAATTCCAAAAGAAGTTTTGCAAAAATTATTAAAAATAATGCATTTATAGAAGAATTAAAAAAAATTAATTTTGGAAAAGTTACAAATTATTGTAGAAATTTAATTATTTTCAAGAAAAAGATTAAATACATATTGTTCAAACATAATAAAATTCTTTTTAGGAATTCAATTATTTTCCTAAATAATAAAATTCTTCTCAGGATTTCAATTATTTTTAATAAAATTTTAAGTAAATTCTTCGAAAAATGTAATTAATTTAAAAAATTTTATTAACATTCTTGGAAATAAATAAATTAACATTTATAATTGTTTTAAATTTTTTATCTGAAATGCATTTTTAAAACAATTTTTATTAGAAAATTCTATGAGAATTCAATTATTTAAATACAAACAAGAAAAAATTATTGAATAAATGAATTTTTTCAAAATTGAATTCTCATAAAGAATTTTATCAACAAATTTTTGAATAAAATTGAATTTTTGCAAACATTTGTAACTTCTCTAAAATACAATTTTTTTTAGTGTTTTGAACTAATATTTTTCTATAAATCCAAGAGTTTTAATAATTAATTAAATATAATATTAAAAAATAAAATAAAAATAATTATCCCAATGGGAAATTTACAACTGGCGTAGTACTGCGCCAGCACTGGCAGCACTGGCGGCAAGGCTGAGAGCCAGCACTGGCATGGCACTGGGATGATAACGCCGTCTGGCGCTGCCGAAGTACTGTCTGTCAGTGCTGCCAGACAGCGCTGGCGCAGCACTGGACCAGTGCTGGCTGAGAATATTGCCGCAATAAATGCCGTATTGTTATTAATTAGTCGTAAATTAATAATTATAAATAATTTAACAACAAAATGGTAAATAATATTAAAAAATATTTCTCTTCTTAAAGAAATTGTATTAAAGATGGAGACTAACAATATGGATATAGTAAATGAAGTAGAAAAAAATTGTTTATAACATTTAAAAATTAAATAATAAACAATTACAGTAAGTGTGCATTAGATTTTCATATTTTAGTACCTGACGATTGGAATCTAGAAATATCGCAAACCTATGAAAATAAACAAAATTGCTGACGAGGGGAATCGAACCTACGACCTACGGACTAACAGACTAACGCTCTAACCACTATGCTAACGACACGTGTGTGCAGTAAAATTTTAATATCTCAGTATCATTCAGACATACAATTATTGAGTCAAAGATGAGAAAAAAATAGGGATACGTTAGAAATAATAAATTGAAATAAAATAAATTAAACTAAATTTTTAAAAATTAAATTACTTTACTTATTGCATTTAACATTTTACGTAATTCTTAAATTACGTGGTAATTTTTTAATAATTTTTTATTCATAGTAAGAAGTATAATAGTATTTTAATAGGAACCAAATTATTATTGAGATTAAAGTTTAAATTTTGTTTATAATTTTAATTTGTTTAAATAATTTATTATTTACAAAATTAGACAATTGTGTTAAATTGTTATTATTAAATTTGACAAGAATAAAAAATGAACAACTGAAAAGTAAAATATTAATTTTTTTCAATAAATTTATATTTATAAACATTCATAAACTTTTTTTATAATTTTTTTCAAGTTTATGTCAAAAAAGCAATGTTGGCAAAGAGCGTTGTGAACAATTTTTCTATACTCAGCCAGCACTTGCCGCCGAGCCTTGTCCAAGCTTTGGCGAAACAAAAATTCTGTACTGCGCCAGCACTAATTGTCGAGGCTCGGCTAGACTACGCCGAACAATCGTCTGAGTACTAAGCCAGTGGTGAGCATCGGCACTACACTGGCATTTCCCATTGGGATGAATTCTGGAAATTTAATTTCTTCCAGTACTTTAATAAAAATCCCTGACTTTTCCTTGATTTCCCTGACCAATTCTACTTTCCCCGACTTATTTTCCCTGAATTCCCTGATTTCCCTGACCTGTGGCAACCCTGACCTCGTAATGTTGAAGTAAAAGGTAATTTTTCTCAAATGTTATTTAAAATTTTTAAGTTAAATTTTTTGACTTTTTTCATCACTTTCTGTATAAATTGCACAATTATCATTTTCGTATACCTCATGTTCCTGCGGATGAGAAATTATATTTTTTCTTTTTTAATGGAAGTGTCAGTTTGATGCACACGGGTTACAGCTGTAGCATTTCTGCATTTCCTGCATACGAGCAGATTCAAGAAACATAATCTTACAAAATTATAGACTTTGCAAACCGTTGACCTCAGAATGTACCTACGTTGAAAAGAGGAATTGAAATCAAATGCACAATTCAATTAACTTGAGATATGGAGATTCCAACGCAAATTCAATTCCATATTTCTTTAATCATATCATTTTCAGTCAATTAGAATTTTACGCTTAAATAAGTAATTAGCAAGACGCAACTATAAATCAACAACGAAGAAAAACAGTTATTTTAAATAAATAATTTTGTCCAGGTAATCGTCATATAATTATAAAGTTAAATTCCTTATTACTTTTGATTTACCTTCCATGAAACATATTACTTTCTATTACAAAAATTGTTACGCAATATTTGCTATCAAAGAATTGAATCACTTTATATGTAAATAAAGTTACGTTAATGAAAACTTAAGCACTGAATGCGACAGTGAACACAATTTTAAACATGTTTTTGAGAATGTAAAAAATAGTTGAACTGACTTTATGAGTTGGTCCATTAAGAAAGTGAATGAATTGAAAATAAATCGTGTATGTATTCGGTTTATAACTATGCGCTTATTTTAATCAAAATAAATTTGTTAGTCATCATAATTTAAGGATGAGTATGATGTAATAAAATTAATAGAATTTTCTGTATATGATAAATATGAATGAATTATAATAATTCATTTATTACATATACTATATAATTATAGATGTATGTAATTCCTTTTTCGTTCTCATTTTTGGCAACTGAGGATTTAATCTGTTTAAGGACGAATTAAGAAAACGAATGATTTAAAATGATTTGCCAATGGCATGAGACGAGAAAGGAGAGATCGGAGTTTATGCAATCCGCCAAGTATGTAACATGAACGCTTCAGAATCCAGGCGCAGTATTTTCTATAGCTATAAGTATCTAATGTTAAACTTATAAACTGCTACTGTTGCACCGGTGCGACATACGACCATAAATTATATCATAAATTTGCTAAATACCCATTGTTATTTTCTACACAATATATTCTTTCGATATCGTACACCTGCTTATGGGGAACGATGACATGAAAATTTTAAATTTCTTTTTTTTAACCCTTCAGAACACAGAAAAAAATATGTGTTAAATTTGTTGCGTGTACTTTTCAGATGGTGTTGTTTTAATTTTAACACAATTTTCGTGTTATTTTAACCCCATTTAAAAATGTATATTAATTTAACACCCTCTAGTGTTAAAATCACACAGTGTCTTGTGAAGTCAATCGGTGAAAATTTTACTTACATCATTAACTTCAGAGTGTAAATATTTTTTTATTAATATCTCCTTCAAAAATGAAATAAGTAAACAGAAAATTGAACATTTTAGGAAATCAAAAATGCACCTGCTTTGTCGAATTAACTCTTACTTCTAATACAGAACCAAAGACTGTAATCGATTGCAGGTATTTGCTCTCTACTAACTGCCCTCAGAATCTGTCCTTCGTTTTTTTCAAGGTCATTGTTCGCTTTAATTATCATTGCCATTGACATGCGGTCTTACCATATAGAGATGATGTATTTATTTTATTATTATAATTGTTACTTATAATTTATGTGTATAATTACTTATTACACAATTGTTATACTTATTGTGTCTGTCGACATGCAAGCAAAAAAAAATTCAAGATCAATTGAATTAAATTAACGGTGTGGTAAATAATATTAGACGTAATTAAATAAGTTTAAAAAAAGGTGTTAAATTAAACTTTTAGAAACAGTATTGAATTAGTAGAGCAGTACAAAAGTAAACCAACACTTTTTCTTGAGAATAAAAATATGATTTCTTTTTCTGTTGCGCCTTTAACAGTAAAACTTTTTGGCTCGCTTTTTGGTATCATAAAATAGTTGTCCAAGAATTGATTCGTTTTACTACTTTACTGAAGCACATATAGTTTTTCTCTTGAACAGAAATTCCACTGTTTTTACTTTACTCTTCTTGCTCTGTTGAAAGAGATAAATCCCAGAAAGTAGTTCAGATTATGATACTTGGATTTTTGAAAAAGTTGAATTAATCTTTGAGCTTGTAAAGTTCTTTACCACAATTTCATTGACTGTGAGTAATTTCATTCATCATTCATCTAGTTTAGAAATGGTTATTCAGAATTTATCGTGCTAATAAATATATATGTATATATTATGTATAGATTGTTTAATAGTTTAAAATACTTTTTCTATCAAATGATTTTTACTCCAGTGAACACACTTGTAATTGTTATTACGGAATAATTATATTAGAGATTTGTGTGTGTTTTCTAATTACGTTTTCTAATCCAACTTTCTTTAAATGATTACATTGGCACGAAGAAGCAATGAAGGTTTCTGTAGTTATTAACGAATAATTTTTCGACCTACATTTTTTCAATATTAAAAAACGAAATTTGAAAATAACATTTTTGTTTCAATTAAATGGTATATAAATAAATTTATAGATACTAATGATTTGTTTATTTTTAATAAATTTTCCAGGTAGATTAGCAGCTATTCTTTTTGGTATCTTGGCTCTTACTATTGGCATTATCTTAAGCAGTATACCTTGGGTTGATTATGTTATTTTAAGAGTGAGTACATTTCAATTCCATTTGATTTTCCACTATAAATTGCAGTTGAAATCACAAAAATGTAATATATGTTTGCATTCAAAGTATATTATCTGCGAGCAATAAATTATTAATAAATCTAATTGAATTCTCATTATAAGACGAATTGTTAAATTGTTAACAATGAAACTAAATATCACTGAAAATAAATATCTATCGACTTTCACGCGATATATCTAAATGGGTAAAACTAAATAGGTTTTCGAAAATCTACATCAGGATGAGTATAATTAAATGGCTCACGTTTCTCATGCCTAGAATCCGTTGACCGATAAACTTACTTGGCGTGAACGATTATCGGGCATTAGAAACGTGATTATCTGACTTACAAAGTATGTTGGTGTACGATTATACCTATACACAAGTGATTCGACTAGAATGAAATGCGGAAAACGTTTTCAATATCGCGAATGCCTTATGAGATTTATTTCGAGTCGCTTATGCAATCATCAGTTTGTTTTTAGTTAAATAACAAGTCATAAAAGTTTTCTATTTTCAAAAGTAGGTTTATTATTTAATTAACTGGGCTCGCTTTATAATTTAATTTGATAATTCTTTATCTTTGAATAAAAAAAGAATTTATACTTTCAACATGTGTGCAACATATATTAAAATAATCATTAGATATTATGAGAATAAAATAAATGAATCTTTAATTGAAACATATTTCGTTTACTGCAGCAATTAAGACTATGGAATGGATCCCTATCTTTTCAATACTGGCAAAAACCCGGTGTTGTTCGACTCACCAAAGTATATATATTTAACGTTACAAATGCTGACAACTTTTTAAATTTTAACGAGAAACCGAAACTCCAAGAAGTTGGACCATTTGTCTACAGGTAATATAACATATCATTAATTTAATTCCTTAAATTTTAGAACATAAAACAAATACAAATTTGTTTATTAACTTTTCCATTACTTCTCGTTCTCATTTTTATAATTACAAATTTCATATTTTATTGATATAAAAACTAACAAAATATTGTCAATAATTATACTTTTTATAAAATCCTTACACAACTTATCGCGTATACTGAATCATTTTTATTCAATCAAGTGTAATAAAAAGAACGCATGTCAGATCTTAATAGATGTTTAATTTTTTTCTAAAAATATAAAAAGAAAATCAAAGTTCAATAAAATTAAAAAAAATGATGTCTCATAAAAAGAAAATTATCAATAATCTTCCAAGATTAAAGAAAAGGTGATGATGGTAAAAGCACATTAGTCGTTTAACTATAGAACCGTTAAGTGTTATTCAATGAAATCTGCATGCTTCTTCATAATCTCATTAATTTGGGTCGATTTCTATATTTAAACTTTTTAAATTATAATTTTTTCTATACCTACTTCAACTTTCTATAAGTGTAAATTATGTCAAATAAATCCCTTATTATTTTATTTATAAAATTTTTAAACCTCATCTGTTATAATTTTAATTAAACAGAATGAAATGTGAAAATTATTTTTAATAACGGTTCATATATCTAAGAAATTTGACATCAATAAATTAATTAACATATGAGTACAAGTGGGGACATTTATTTCATAATTATTCTGATTGGAATTAATTCAAATTATTTGCAAAAATATATTTAACACATTTCTTATAAAAATCAAATACAATATTTCTTATATTGTTTCATCTTCAATTATCATTTTCTTAATTTTACAAATCCCAAAGGATTCTAAATTTTGAAAAACGTTTGCATCGATTTATTCATTTATCAATTTTTTTCGATATTGGCATAAAAATAGTATTAAATATCAATTTATAGAAAATTCTCATTCCTAGAATTTAGTTTATTGTTCAACTTTGAATTGCATATGTCCAATAAATGAGAAAAACACTCACTTTCTACGGAAGTTTACAGGAAAACTTGTATGTGGACATTGTTGCTTATATATGTATATCATCCCGTAAGAGCCGGTATTACATCGTAATATGTAATAATATTACGTATTATACATTAGTATAGAATTCGGAATAACTCAACGAAAGAGAAATTTAATTTCGAACAATCCTTGTTGAAAATATTCTCATACATTTAAATATATAAACTTGATTATTTTTTATTTTCCTTTATTTCTATTCTTTACAAAATTTTTACTATATGTTTACCCCCAGGGAACAGATTCTTTGAATCAAGAAATCTTTTGCATTTTTATAGAATCGAAAAAAATTCATTGTTCAAATGAAATGTATTGATATTAAAAAAAGTTTTCATGAATTAGAAACTTATAGTTCCTTTGAGACAACAAAATATCATTAAATCATTTTCTTTTATATCATTTTATATGATTTATATCATTTTCTTTGATATAGATGGATAAAAGCAATGACCTTATTTTTTTTAATCAAACAAAATTTTTTATTCATATTTAGCAGTTTTTTTTACCGTGTTTGTGATGTAATGTAATATATGTAATTCTTCTTTGTTTCAAGTGCTTCTGAATAATTTTATTTTTTTTGCTCAATTACAGTTTTTTCTTTAGTATAAAATAATTATCATTTAAAAAAAAATACTTAATAATTAATTCTTTTAATTTTTATATAATACGAAATTTTTATCTGATATAAAAGTGTGTTTGAAGGATTTCCCTTTAAATTTGTTGTCTTGTCCTTTACGTAACGCATATTAGCAAACATTACATTGGTAATACTTATAAAGCCAACAAAAAAATGTACTTACAAATCATGAACTTAACAATGTTGTATCACCATTAAATAAGTGAAAAATTTGATTTCTCTTTATTTTCTTTTGAAAATGTAATTAATGAAACAAAACTAAATAATGTAATTTTCTAATTAGCTTAAGTAGAAAGTAGTAGAAATAATATAAGAAATAACACAATTTTAATTTAATACGCAGTTTGATTAATTGAAAAAAGTTTATGAAAATATAAACAATTAATTAATAAATAAAAAATTATTTCGTTTAACAGTATTATTTCTGTGCAGGGAGGACATGGAGAAAGTGAACATCGTTTTCCACAATAATGGCACAGTAACCTATCAGCATAAAAAAATTTTGAACTTTGTCCCAGAAATGTCGAAAGACAAAGAATTACAATTACTTGTGCCAAATATCCCTCTTCTAGTAAGTGTTTCTGACTTATACCTAATAGTCTACTATTATTATGCGTATATTTATCAGAAGTAATGATTTTAATTAAAAGTATACATAAACTGGTTAGCATTTTAAATATATAACTTATTTGCTATTATGAAGAATGATTTTTGCAAAATTATTGTTTACAACTTTTTCAAAATTTTGTAATATTGTGAGGAACTTGACATTGTTGATTTTTGTGCCTCAAGACATTCTTTAGCAGGATATGTATTATATCATAGATTGATGTAATAGAGAAAGTAACAAGTTTTTGTACATTGCAGACATTATCGTCGCAAAGCAGAAGTCTTCCAGGGTTCATCACACTTGGCATATCGATGTTCCTTAGGAGTTTGGATTTAAAACCATTTATTCCAGTGACAGCTCAGGAATTAGTTTTTGGTTACGATGACCCTTTAGTAAGTTTGGCTCATAGATTTTTCCCAAAAACTCGGAGACCAATGAGCCGGATGGGACTTCTTATTGGAGTGAGTTTAACTTTTATTTAAACAATAGAATATATATATTTAATATTTAGATACTCGAAAAAATATGTGCATAAATTGTAAAATAACCGCAATGTTATTGAAAAACATAATCAGGGCTCGAATCAGTGAAAGTATTTAAAAATACGGACTTTATGGACCAAAAATAAAAAATTATTGACCAATTACTGACACAAATATAATCAGCTTAGAATTTTATGGAAATTTATGAAAATAATTGAATTCAGTTAAGAGTGAGGGAACTCTTTTCCTGGAAAGTTTATCTCCTTGTAACCGGCCCTATTATAGTAATATAATAATAATACTTGCTACAGATTATTACACATAGTTGAAATTTTCAGAGGAATGGTACTCTGGACGAAGTACACACTATATACACAGGTCATACGGATATGAAGGAATTTGGACTTTTAAATAGACTAAATGGATTGGATAGTTTACCATATTGGGATGATCCGCCTTGTAATTCAATACGAGCTTCTGAAGGTGAGAAAAATGAAACAATTTTCAATTTTATTTCTCTTACTTAAAAAAATAATAAATTTTCAGGTTCCTTCTTTCCCCCACGAGACCTAACTGGAGAAAATATTGTTCACGTTTGGGACAAGGACTTGTGCCGAGTCCTACCAATTGAATATCGAGGTCCGTCTGACAAGGATGGGATTAGAGCAGACTTGTACACTCCAGCAGATAATGTATTCGATCCACCTAGTAATAAGACACCTGATAATGAATGTTTCTGTCCCGAAGATCCGTCAACTTGCCCTCCGAAGGGTTTGCAGGATATCAGTCCCTGTCAATTTAGTGAGTACTTCATTTTTTAATTTAACATTTCTATTTTAAAAAGAATGAAAAGCTAAGAACTAAAATGCTAAGAAAGTAAGAATTAAAAGAACTTGTGTTTTTTAGGTGCTCCAGTTTATCTCTCGTTTCCTCACTTCTACAAAGCAGACCCTAAACTTATAAACGCCGTGTCAGGAATGAATCCAAAGAAAGAGTTACATGGAACTTACTTTAAAATACAACCAGTAAGCTCATTCTCTATCAATACTTAAAATCCGAATACTGTTTTTATAGCTATTGTTGTTTTTACAGAAATTGGGCGTTCCTTTAGAGGGAAAAGTTCGGCTGCAACTGAATCTCAAAGTGGAGCATCAGCCAAACATTAGAGCAGTTTCCCAATTTCCGGATATTGTCTTTCCAATTATGTGGCTGGAGGAAGGAGTTGAAGAATTGACGCCAGCAATTAGGCGATGGGTCTACCTCTCAACAACATTTGCCGATGCGGCAGTTCCCTGCATTGCTTATGGTGTAATTCTAGTCGGAATAGTAACTTTAATAACAGTTTTCGTTAAGGCCTACAACAATGTTGTATTGACGCATGAGGCCATCGAATTAGGCAAAAGAACTATTAGGAGAGGTTCGTCGTTTTTGATCAATGGTCAACATAGACTTTTAATGGTCAAACAGGAATCCTACGTTCTTCTGACTGACGACGTCGAAGACGGTAGAGTTCTAGAAGAAATGTGATTGCTTAAAAACAGTATATGAAAAATTAAAAACGCTTCAAGTGTTGCACTTCCTCTCCGAGACTGTATTCAATTGTCAAAATGTTTTTTCTTAGTTTTTATCAAGATTACTTCTATTGGTAAGACATTATCATTCATTTATTATTAATTTAGGCAAAGTTTCTTCATGGTAATATATTTTAACATTTTTTTTTTTTCATTTAAATCTATAAAATGCATTTATTCTCTAGAATAAATATATTATTTCTACATTATCTAAAAATGAAAAAAGTATCTTATAGGCCACAAGTGAAACAAAAATTTTGTTCAGTTATGAAATTGAGGGTGCATATGGGCATCTTCAATTTGCAACGAAATATACATGACATTAATTTTAAATAATCATTATAATTTCATTTATTTGTTATTTCATATTTATTTCAAATTTCAACAATAACTTCCATTTTCATTTAACGGCTCAATTTGTGTTTTAACGTATGCACAAAATTGGCAATTTAATTCTTATTAATACTTTTATTGAAACTTATTGTTGTAGGTTATTCACTTTTATAGTATATATAATATTTGCCTGATATCACAATTTAAAGAAAAACACCTTAAAATTTACAACAAAGGTTACCGTTATTTCATCTTAATACGAAATATTTTTTACGCTTTTGTAATTTCATTATAATTAAATCTATTTGTATGAGGGATTACACGGAGAAAAATGAGTTTGCTATTATATGGATAGCGAATTTTTAGCTATTACAGCTAATAATTAGCTGTTTTAGCAAAAAAAGTTAGCTAATTTAGCTAATTATTAGCTGCATTAGCTAACAATAATTGCTATCCATATAATAGCAATTAAGGTTAGCTAAGGTAGCTAAAAATTAGCTGAAATAGCTAACTATTTTTCTCCGTGTATATGCAATTCAAAAATGCCTAAATTACAATTTGATATTGTGGCTGTGGAAATAGAAAAACGGAAATTCTATCGTTACCTGTTGTCCGATACCGAAACATTTTTATAACAAAAGTGTTCAAAGATTTTATATATTCAGAAAAAGAATGATGACTGAGTGTTATTTAAAAGTATTTCTGTTTTTCGACAGTACTTTCTTTCAATATGAACCATTCTTGTCTAGAAACCTTTAAAGTAATTTTTAAACACGAATGGTTCATAAAATATGTATCTCGAAATTACAAAGTACTGAGTAATTGGAACCATTTTTTAAACAAATGATTATTTTAGTAAAAATCGTCTAGTGGATTTTCCTAAACTTTTGAGCGTTCAAGTAAACGAAATATTTTTCTGTGCATTAATATTTTTAAAAATTACTAAACTGGAATGAAAAATATTGTAATTGAATATTTATTTAGACAAAAATTAATTTTTTAATTGTAAAAGACAATATTTTACTAAATAAAATTCAAATTGGAAGAAGTAATAAAAATATCGTCGTTCATTTGAACGTTCGAAACTTATTTAGGGACATTCTATATATATAGTGGTGGTTGTTCAATAATTTTAAAACATATATTGTAAATATATGGTATTCCTTAATACAAATTGATTACATTTTGAAGGTTTATATCACTGAATTAGTTTTACTTTCAATAATTTTTTAAACTTTCAACACTTTACGCAGTATAAAACATAACCTATTTTACAATTCAGTAAAAATCGCATAAAATAGAAAATCAAATATTGTTTTTTATTTTAAATATAAATATTTGCTTAATTTCATGAAAATAATAGAAAATTATCTGAAAATTACTCACCAAAAATAGTTAAATCAAAATTTTTTGTACTTATACAGATAAGCATCTGTTGCTTTTAAATCTTCTGTGGAAAAACAGCGGAATTTTTATTTAACTTTTTGAAAATCATCTTGAAATTATAAATTTATTTTAATTTAAATGTTGTTAGACACTCCACTCGTTAATTATTTATTAAACATGAAAATTCAATAAATTTTACCTTATTTTCTTTGAGTTGTTGTTTTTATGACAAGAGTTCATCACTTTGACAGTTGACTGTTTTCTTTTCTGCAAACACTCAGCAGGGTGCTCAGGGTGAACCCCGAGTTGACGATGGTCCAATCATGAATAACATTCTGTTGGATCTAACCAATCAACATTAGCTCGGGGCGAGTGCCGAAAACAGCCCTAATCGCTCGTTTAGAAAATTAATTTCAGTCAACAGTCATGAAAACAAAAATTTGGGAAGCAGGTTAAATTTATAAATTTTCATGTTTAATAAATTACAAGTGGAGTGCCCAACAAAATTTCAATTAAAATAAATTTATAATTTCGAGATAAATCATTTTCAAAAACTTAAGTGAAAATTCTGTTTTCTTCAAAAAAGATGCAAATAAAAGAAAAAGATGTTTATAATACTGCGCACGTATACTAAATCTAATAACTACTTTGGTAAGTCATTTTCAGAAAATTTTTCTTTATTATCATAAATTTAGCAAACATATATATTTAAAATAAAAAAACAATATTTGTTTTTCTGGTTTTTCTATTTTACAATTATTTGTACTGAGTTGTTGTAAAATAGGTTATGTATGACTGCGTATCTGTTAAATGTTTAAAAAATATAAATATAAATCAAATTGCATTAAAAAATATCGAATATTAATGATAATATTCTTAAAAATCATCGAGCAACCATCTCTAGACGATTTACTCTGGAATAAACGCAAAAATAATTCTTTTTCGAACTTTTATCAGTCATCATCTTTTTTCTTCTTGTAATAAAACTATTTTGCATATAATTATAATTAAATTGAATAGTAGAGCACTTGTTAAAATACAGATTTTTAATTATTAATTAGTTTTTTATTTAATTTATCTTTCTCTAGAAAGTTAAATTATCTATTTAAGATCTTAAACTTTCATATATAAATAAACGACAGGTCACGAGAGAATTTGAGTGACCAAGAAGAAGAATTTGACGAATACAGCTGTACTGTCGGTAAATTCTACTTCTCGGCCACGCATTTAATGTCGCTTATGATTTTTCACAAACTAATGTAAGAATTTACGTTTAATTAAAAGAAATAAAAATAATATTAATAATAAAATAATATTAATTAACTATTAAAGAAGTACAAGTACTCGATTCTCAATTGCTCATGTCTGCCGGATTAATGACAATAATAATTGTTATTCTGACAAGAAACACATATGAACATTGCTCAATAATAATTGTCTATCTATTCTACTTCGAACGTGTTAGAAATCACCAAACTTTTCTACTAATAAGTTTTTTTAAATTCTATGTAAATTTCAATCAATTTTAGACTAGTTAGCGTCTCCGATTTATAATAAAAAATATGATTATGGAATTGTAAGTGACGATTATTAGACAATTATTTTTACCATTTTATCGATAAAAAAAACTCGTGTCCGCGAATGGATAATTTTAATAACTTTTGTATATTAAAAATTTAGAATATTAATCGCTTAAACTCTGATTACGTTTAATTTGTTAGTAAGTAAATAAAGAAATCAATTATTTTAATAGAAATAATCTACTTATTATTTATTGCATTGGATTTCTAAATTTTTTTCTACATGCAGATATTTTATAAGGAAAACGATTTTGGTATATTATGGAAATTAAGAAACTGTACTGAAGAAAAAAATAGTAAATCTACATATTTTGTATCACAGTTACTTATTTTTTATATTTAAGCAATAATAATACAGATTTTAATTCGTATAAAATGATATTTTTACTTCAACTAGATTAAATTTGCTTATTACATAGGTATTCATATTACATACATTATTCGACCTTATATACATATATATTTGAAATAAACTTTGGAGTACAAAGAGGCACTGGAAATGTTCGTTTTAGTACTTTCTGATTAACTATTTAATATATATTGTACACTGTTAAAGTCAATTATGCTTTTGAATAATCAAATAAAAATCTATTTAGTACAATCTTTCTTATGGCAGGTCTATGTTTGTAACAGTGTACAGTAGTTTTACTTTTACCATCAGTATCAATATCTATATCTTACTGAGAAAGAAGGATTCTTCCGTTTACACGCAATCCAGACTCTAAATTCATTTCTTTCGTTTTTCTCCGTGTAACTGTTTATTTATAGAATATTATTTGTCCTTATAATACTTTTATATAAATGAACTTTTCTTAAATTTAAAATTTCTCACTCGAAAATATTATAAATGCACTTACATGTCTGTTTTATATATGTTTAATTGGCAAGAATTAATGAAAATGAAAATTTTTCTTGTGCTACTCCATTCACCAAAAAAGTGTGCCATTAGTTTTCTTCACATTTGTCCTAAGTTTTGAGTGTTTAAATGTGAAATTTAAAATATTAAAAGTTTTAAATGTGAAAAAGTATTTCAACTTTTTTGAGTTTTGATAAAAAGTGCGAATATAATTTTTTTGATCTTCTTTAAACCTGGTCAGTCGAGATTTGGTTTTCCTGAAGATAGTAAATAGTTGTATTTCTAATCATTGACGAAGACTTGGTAAGATTGTTATTAATGACATTTTAGTATAGCAAAGGAGAAGCTCGAGGAACGATTATAAACTGGTGTCAGTAAATGTCCAGTCCTTTCCTTTTTGTCTGAGGATAGAAAATCCTTTCGTAGGTGTGAAGGATTCAGTCGGCCCTTTTACAAGGTGGGAGGTAGATATTGGTTTAATGCTGATGGTAGGTTGCTTTGTCTGCAGTCGCAAATTTCGTCTGACTTGTGGGTATGCTGAAAACCTGATGGCGACTGGACAAAAACTGGTGGGGAAATTTCGCTCTGGGGAAGAACACTTGGCCCTGAAATGGGAGCTACTGGTTGGACTGGAGCTGCAATTGGAGCCACTGGAGTGACTGGACGGCGAAGGGGTTGGTTGGGTTGAGCAATTGGTGGACCGTACTTGGCGAAGGGTTTGCCGACTTGGGGTAAAATGGGTCGAACTGGTTGAATTGGCTGCTTCACTGGCTGGAAGGATTGAGGCTTGTAAGTAAAAGACTCTCTAAGTGGTTCAACTGTTTGTGTGAGGAAAGGTTCTGGACCTGGTACCAATGGGACTATTGGTTTTGGATAATTGGTAGATGGTAATTCAGAAAACGTGTGTTCAACTTTTTCCAAAGGCGGAGCTTGCATCATCTCCTTCACCCACTGAGTGTCAATTAGTGCGAAAGTTGCAACCTAAAATAAAAATTTTGTTGTAATATTTATGTGAAATGAAGAAAAATTTTTAGTTGTACTAAAGAATATTTTTCTGAGAATTCTAGTTGCTTTGTACAATCTGCACTACCTTCTTTACAAAGGCCCGACTAAACTCTGTCTATACTACTGACGCTGTCAGCCTTTGCAATTAAGGTGGCTTCGAAACTAGAATTGCAGTATGCTTTACCTGATTGGTAGGAAGGCAGCCAGTGTCTTGACTGTAGACACCAGTAAGTTCATAGTGTCCATCTCCACGATCGCAAGCCAAAGGTCCACCAACATCTACTTGACACATATTGTTATTTACGTGATGCGCTTTTCCACATACAAGCGAGTCATCAAAATCCAATGGTCCCTCTGCTCCCTCCAACCGTTGTCTGCATTCGTTTTCACTCAAAAGATCAACACCCACACTGTGCATTAAGGCTCCAGCAACATTTACTAAAAAAAAACAATTTCAATTTACAAAAGTATAAAAAGGGATTAATCTCATTTTAACTAATAGACGTGTTCGATTGTTTTATAATTGAACCGCCGGCGACCAAAAGGGCTTACGCGTGACTTCCGCTATTCGAGAGGCCAACGAAAACCTTGCGTAAGCCCCGTTTTTAACTAAGTAATTGAAAAAGTATCTGAAAAGTAAGATTACGCATATTTTTTACCTTGAAGAACTATTTTGCCCCATCCAGTGGCAATGCAATTTCTGTCGGCTGTGACGGCGGGTCTGTCTCCAAGACAAATAGTGTCAACGTGCTGATCAAGAGCTATGGGATGTTCCAAGAACAAAAGAGCAGTGTCGTAGCTTGGTTTTCCTGAAGAATATCCGGGATGAGGTACAATTGTAGCAACCTGCACAATTTCAAAGTCAAGTGGTTCTTCGTGTTTCAGATCGTAACCCAATTTCCATTCACCAGCTTTAATTGAAATATCCGATGATTTGAATCTGCAATGAAATAAAAATGAATGTAATTTATTCTGTTTAATGTCTCGACAGTAATTATATTAAGTGGATTGAATAACAAAAGGGAAACCTACCCATCGACGCAGTGAGCAGCAGTTAAGATGACAGTAGGTGATACTATTGCCCCGGAGCAAAGTAATTTGCGATCTCGACCAGAGAGGATCATTGCTTGCCAAGGAATTTCGCCAAAGGCAACGTCCACGTCGCTCAAACTGCTTGGACGTTGTATCTTTTGAAATTAAATCAGATGTAACGTGAAAGTTTATGAAAGTAAAGAATCATAACTTATGTCTTTAATTGACCAAGAAAATTTATCTTGACGTGCATTCATCTTAATTTTCTTAATTTAAAAAAAAACTTAAATTACCAATTTTTGAAAATAGATAATTTAGAGAATTTTAGTCTTACTTGATTTTTCAAGCCACATTGAAGACCTGGAGTGTGAGGCTTGATAACAACTGGCTTCTCATGGGTGGACTGAGTTTCGAATGTATTTTTGGAGTGATGATTTTGAATAAATGGATTGGAAAGGTTTGGTACACTTGGTTGATTTGAGAAATTGTTAATGAATCCATTTGTAGTGGATGGAGATGAAGGTGGATTGGGGAAATTGAAGGTCTTGGAAGGAGTTGCAGATTTAGTTGGAGTGTTTGATTTGACAGGCAGATGGCCTTTCACGGGAGAATAAGTTTTAATTGGAGATTGCGACTGTGCAGGTGCGAAAGGTTCAGAAGGGTGGTGGATAATATCTTGATTGTTTGTGGGTTGTTCAGAGTGGAATGGAGGTTCAAGTTCAAGAACTTGATGAGGCTCTTCTCTTTCCAAAGTTTGTTGGTGGACAGGATGTTGAATATGTACCGTCTGTTGGGGAGTAGATGCTTGTTGAATTGGTGCTTGAGGACGGATTATTGGGTGACTTGTAGGGTGTAGAGGTTGTTGATTTACAACTGGTTGTTGAAGATGAAGGTGTTCTGAAGAGAATGATTGGACAGGATGGATTGGTTCTTCTATGATTGGTTGAATCGGCAGAGGAACTAAGGGGACTTGATGTTGAACTGATTGCGTTTTAACTGCTTGTTGAGGTCGATTTGGTTCGGGAATAAATGGAAGTTGAAGATGAATTGGTTCAGAGACAAATGGAACTTGAGAATGAATTGGTTGAGTTTTTATTGGTTGGCGAGATACTTGTTGAGATGGAATAGAATTTGGGGCAAATGACTTGATTGGTTGAACTGGTTTAGGAGTAAGTGGAGCTACAAGGTGAATAGGTTGGGTTTTAATTGGCTGTTGAGACCGAATTGGTTGCTGGGGTCGAATCGTCTGTTGATTGTTCTTTGATTCTTGTGGTCTGTTTCCCTTTGGTCTAGTTTTTGCGATATTCAAAAATGTGGGGAAGCCCATTTCGTCAAACCCGCCACTGTAGTTGGCAGGTAAGTTGCCTGTTGGCCAAGGATCAACGTAATTTGGGTCTCGACAGCATTTTCCGGTGATGCCAGTTTCAGGGTTCCTGCAGCTCTGAAATGATATTAAATTGAAAATTTGTTTATGATTGAACAAAATCAATAGAGTCGTAGATAAACGTATGTTAATTTTCATGTAGGCTCCCGCGTGGGATATTTTGCTGCAGAAAGATGAAAATTATGTATTCTAGAAGATGATTCATTGTTGTGGGAGACATTATTACGTAAAAATAATCTCAAGAACATGTAGGTACTATTTTATCGATCATTTCTTGAAACTAGTTAATCTTCAAATGGTAAAATATTCTATTTAATATTGTTTCTTTAATTATGACATAATGACTCACTCGAGCTTTCCCTCAATAGTAATTTTCTAGCATCTAGTTTGATATTAGTCATTAAACTCACAGTCATTGGTGCTCTTCTCAATATTTGTTCACTGCTCAACGCTACAGGTTCTGGACTAATAACTGCGTCCTTAGTACAGAATTGTTCTTCAACGCAGAGCAAAGCAGCAGCACATCCAACCTGTGGAGGAATTTCTGGAGCGGGTTCGAATGTGGGACGAATTTGTACAGGAGATGCGTCGTTGGCTTCTCCTAAAATAATATTTAAAAAATATTCCATTAACTTTTATGAATCTTAGATAAAGTCAAAGTAATGGAAAATGCCGCAATTAACCTTCATGCTCTGGTTCCTCTGGGAGTTTAGAGAAGGCTGGAATGTGATCAGAAGGTTCTCCTCCAATAGCTGGCAAGTATTCATTTGTTTCAGATGGGTATTGCTTCCCTTGTGAATTATGAAAATCCAAGTCAAATAATCCACCTTTATTAGAATTTACTTTGTTACCTATTGAAAGAAAATTATTTTATTAATCGTGGTTCTTTAATTATCTTTCTGTCATATATTTTTGTTCGCTCATTAACCCTCTTTATTTGATAAACAAACAGAACGGTATCTATTATATTTTTTATATTGTACTACCAAAATTTATTTATACCTCAACTTTTAATTCTATCAATTTTGTTTTTTTCTCTTGCACTAACTGATTATTGTATTAGAAAGAAAAAACGAAAAAAATAATATTAATATAGTTAAAGTAATCATTAAAATAACAATAACAACGAAATGTGTTTTCATTACAACTAACTTCAAGCCAAGGTTTCGATTATGTATTTTTCGTTTTTTTTTCTTGTGAAACGATCATCGTTTTATTTGTAATTCCCGTCTGCGAAAGTATTTTTGATCCGCAAGGGTTAAGGACCCTCGAATTCTTATGTTGCCCTTGCCATATATAAACGGCTGACGTAAGACCAATGGAATTCTTTCAGCAAACTTTCACTGTTCCTAAATAACTATTTTGGACCATCACAAAAGACTTAATCGAGACAACCCATTAAATAAATCCAACAAATATACAATTTACATTCTCGACAAATAATTATTTACGTCTAATCTAAATGATAATTATTACCTTTATTGGGTATCGGTTGACTAGTTTTAATTTCGTTCTCTTGAATTTTTAAATGACAACAAACTTGATGGTTCAAGTCACAATCTTGTTCCTGAAAAATAAAAACATTTTTAAATTATTAAATATTTTATTTTTGTTTATCATGAAAAAGTAAATTTGTTTATGTTTATAAATGATGTTTTTAATTTCTTTACATGCCGATAATTTGGCAAACCAAAAATAAAAAAAATTATACGTTCCTTTAAAATTATTTATTTATTATCATTTAGTTTGAGTAAAATTGAAATTTAAAAATAAATTCAAAAATCAATTTAATAAAGAAGTCAATGTAACATTTGCGTTAATTGAGTTTAATTTAGATATGCGTTTTTATTGCAATATTAAGATATCTTTCTTTATTTTAAATAGGTAATATTTACAGATAATAAAGAAGGTACATATGTAAATGAATTATTCTTCGAACGACAAAGAATATACCTATTTCTTAGGGCATAAATCGTTAAATTAATGAACCTAAAGAATTTAACTATATGCACATCAATTAATGTGAAATTGCAATGACGAAGAGGTTTTGTTGAAGGTCGCAATTTAGTCATCAGAAATAATCAGTAAAGAATGTAAAAAATGTTTTAAATTCTTTTAATAAACTTTTCAAAGAACTTTATGTTTTAATTTGTTGAGAAATTATCAAATTAATGAGTTTGAAGTGTCAGTGAAAATTTTGAATCTATTCTATCTTCATTAGCAACAATATCATTGATATTCAAAATGGCAACGTTGTACAATAAGGAAAAGAAAAAATTATATTTAATATTAAAATATTTCAACTTAACTATTAGGAAATATCATGTTTATGGAAATAAAATCTTTTTAAAATGGAAAAATATAATAGAAAACAATTTTTAAAGCAGATGTAACATATTATAACATCAATAAATCTTTGAAATATTTAAATTCCTGATTTTAGTCATTTTGATTTGATGACGTAAATTTAAATTTTAAAAAGGTTGAAATTCTTGGAATGGCATATAAATTTACACTTTTTCAAAATAAAATCAAGGCATTCATACACTTATAAGTACTTCAGGGTCAATTACATTCAAGAAGGTAAATTTTTAACTGAAAAAATTAAGAATTTATTGCGTTTAAAGTGTTATTTAAATATGATAATCGTCAATTATTCATTATTTAAGCATTGACATTTAATAAATATTTTCAAAAACTTTTAACTTAAATTATGTATATGCACAACGAAAAATAGAAATTATATTAAAATAAGAATTTTTTTTTTAAAGAATAAGAAATTTTTCATAATATAAAACCTTTTTCTAAATTATCAATGTAAGACATGTAAGATAAACAAAACAAAAATGATGAAAAGTTTATGAAATATTTAACCAATTTTGAAATTTAAAATCGAAGAGTATTTTTCTATTGGGGTCTAAACATTCAATGAGTCACAGTAACATAATTCTATGTTCAAGGTAGAAAACCTGAAATTCGCGATACCTGAAATCCTGTTTGATCTTAAAATTTAGTCAAGGACAAACGGGCAGATTGATCTCGGAAGATGTTCATAAACGATAGAAAGTGAAAGAGATGCTTTTATATAAAACACACAATTTCAATAAGAAAATTGAGTTTAATGAGCAAATAATAGAAATAAAATAAAAAAACTGATTGCTAAATGTTTTCGTTTGCCGGCTCATCATATTGCGCCAACGGTCCGGTTCACTTCCCATCTCGAAATCGCAGGGGTCGATCGCAATCGCATTCACGATTGCATTTACATATAGCCCTATGCATAGAAAGTTGTTTATACTTTTTTTTCTTTTTTTTTTTGACAGAGAGAGAAATTTCTTGTTCTGCTATTTGATTGTTATTTGCGGTGTGTTAAAAATAATCCACAGCTACAGAAAGATGAACCAATGCCAATGATTTCGTTTTATGACATGTCAAATAAAATCAATAAAATCGTACAAGTGTTTAAACTTTAAATATAGATGCTCTTCACCAGATTTAGTGAAGGAGATTCTTCCTGATTGAATAATCGGTTAAAGCACATGACATAACTTTACTTTCGCCAATCTATCACACTTTGTAAAAGAAATGACCATTTGGATGATCCTTGACCCTGGGTTCTGTTTTCTGCTTTAATTTTTATTTTGCCAGAAATATTGAGATCTCGAAAAATTGTTACCATCACCGAAACTTGCAGCAATACCAGCAACATTTTCTCAATATTGCGGAAACTGCTGTGTAAATATATATTCTTCATTGCTTTAAAGAATAATCAACGAAGAAGTTTATATTGAATAATCTCAACAAAAAAAAAATGCCAATTGTTAGTTTTCAAGTATTTATTTTGAGAAATTCTCTCGGTTTGTTTACGAGCATTACTGCAAGGGTGTAATATGGGTATCATTTTTGGAAGTCTTGAATCAAGGACTTTAATTTTAAAAGAGTCGATTGGGACATGGGATCGCATTTAAATTACAATCTTTGGTCACTCTGTAAACACATATTCCACTTTCTCCCAGCCCATTTTATTAAACCAACCATCTTGTTACACTGCAAATTGTATAACTGCAATGTTTACGATCGGAAAAGGTTTATCCTATTCTCTCAAAGGAGCACACTGTCACAAGTGCATGATCAATTATTCTCATTTCAACATTCTCTCCACACACGATTATTAAAAAACTAAGTAAATAAACGTCATATTCATATTAATAACGATTATTGCTGGTGGGGGAATTGGAAGAAATTTGAAAATACATTTTTCTTTACTTCTATTATAAATTCTATATATTTTGATATCCCTTATTCATAAAATTTATTATCAAATGAATAATAAGAATGAAGAAACTTGTTCAATTATTGCTTTTTATATAGGGGACTAACGATTACGCAAGGTTTGTTTTAATTTCAGTGACGCAGACTCTTTCACTCATTGCTTCCAGCAAAAAATTCATCTCAAGCCAATGTAATTTATTTGCAAGAAATTTAACCATCACGAGACTGACATATGTACCTACAAAAAAGCAGTCTTCTTATTCAGGGTTGCTACACAACCTGAAAACCTGGAAAACCTGGAAATGTCAGGGAATTTTATAAACCTTGAAAAAACCTGGAAAAGTTAGGGAATTTTGATCGGAATCCTGAAAAATTATTGTTTTCTAAAGTTATTGTGATTATTCTTGAAATCTAACTGATTTTTAGAATTGATAAGAAAATTTTAAATTTTGTTGTTTTTTTTTTGTTGAAACTAGGAAATTACCACGAATTCTAATACTAAACCTTCCACTTTTCCATTTTCTGACAATTATTTATTTTAAATAATTTAATTATCTTTAACAAATGTCATCAAGTTATTATTCATAAATTATTTAATGAATAATTTTACTGAAATATTTCAAAATTAATTCAATTTTAAAAAGTGTTGCTTTTACAATTTTAAATAAATAGGTGAACATCAAAAAGTTTTAATATGAAATTTTATAAAATTTCAATTTTCAATGAATTTCATTAGACATTTTAAAGAATTTAGATTTTTGAAAAATAGAAAAAAAACTCAACACAAAACTACAATTTTAATCGAATTCAATAAATTATTATGAATAAAAATAAATGAATAAAAAACAAATTTAAATATGAATTTTAGTTAAAAGCACTAAAATAATTAAATGTTTTTAGAGAAATTACAAATGATTGCAGACATTCAATTATTTTCAAAAATAATAAAAGTCTTCGCAGAAATTCAATTATGTTTAAAATTTTTTTTAAATTCTCGTCAAAATTTCAATTATCTTTAAAAATAATTAAACTTTTCTCCAAAATTAAATAGTATAAAATTCATTAATTAAATAAATAAAATAAATAATTAAATGTTTGCGTGGAATTTTGTTAAAATTGTTTTTCAATAAATATTTTTAAAAAATTTTTACAGAATTCCACGCAAGCATTTAATTATTTTTTTATTTATTTTAATCAAATTTCTTCAAAAAATATAATTATTCTTAAAAAATTTATTTGATTTCGTCAAAAGAATTCAATTATTTAAAAATTTGTTGATGAAATTCTTTATGCGAATTCAATAAATTATTTATTTTTGTATTTAAATAATTGTATTTTCGTAGAATTTTCAAATTCAAATTTTGGAAAATTATGAATTTTTCATACTTTTAACTAAAAATTGTGTAAAATTAATTTTTTTTTTTTTGAAAAAGTTAAATGGATTTCTTTTGAAATTATTTCGAGTTTTTATTTTCTTATTTATATTTAATTGAAGAATTTTCGAATAATGCTTTTAATATATAAAATAATGATTTTAATACTCGGTCATCTTTAATTATTATAAGTTATTATATTTCAAAAGGTTTGAATGTGAAATTTTTGAAAATTTTAATTCCTATGGAAAAATAATAATTGATGTTTTCGACTAATTTTACAATTAGAGAAATTCTTAAATAAATGTAATAGATTTAATTTGGTTTAATCTATTTGATAATACTTCTATTCATTTCGATTTTTTCTCATTTTTCCGCCACGTCAGGCAATGTAAATACGCTTACAGATTCTGAGAAGTTTATCCACTCCCACGATGCATTTTTCAATCATATATTTTAATGTCCTAATACTTATTAATAAGCGGACCATTGACATGCACACAATAAGTGTATGACGCAGTCACTAAATTAATAAAGATATTCATATTGAGACTTTTAATATAATAGTCCAAGAAATCACTTCTACGTTACGATTATTCTGACACATATTATTATTTTAATTCGTAGGTATGATAAAAAGATGAATAAAAATTTCGATGGATGGGTAAAATGAAACAGAAACAAGATTTTTTAGTAAAAAAAAAAGAAAAAGTGGAACGAGGATAGACCTTCAAACGAAAACGAAAGTAAAGAAAGTTGGAAATCAAGTTTTGTTGAATTGATCTCTGAATATCGTATATAAATTGTTATGAAACACATGCTACATTTTATCGTTCGCATTTTTTCACTAGATTTCTTAGATTTAAATATAATGTAATTTTTTTCCTTTCAAAATTTGCCTATAAGTAGAAAAAAGTGAATTCAATTTTTCTAATATAGGAAAAAAATTTAGATACCCCATGTTTATTACAGGTAGTATAAGTAAATAAAGTATTCGAAAAGCGAAAAGAAACATTTTTGACATAACTATGCAAATGTTAATTTGATAAATGTTTTCGATTTGCAAAGCGTGCCAACTAATAAATTATGAAAATTATGGATTGATTACATAATTAAATTCAGTGGCATCATTAGACATTCGAACAAGCTCGATGATAGGATATAACTGATATTCACTTTTTTTTAGTTAAAGAAAGAATGCTTGATTAACATAGGATTTATTTTTTCTGTTCAGAACGTCACCAACTAAATAAATTGGCAAACTGTTATAATAATAATCAAATTAAAAGATGGAATTCTTGTTATAATGACATATCCAAATATTCATCTTGAAATTCAATTTATTTTAACGGTGTGAACTTTCGCTTCAAAGCAAAAAAAAAAGTTAAATCTTTTTGGCTCAGGCGCCAAAAGTTTACAGCAGTAAAATATTTCCAATCATAAGTCTTCCTTCCGAGATATTGGATTCTTAAATATGTATTACGAAAGCAATGAAATCATTACGGAAATCATAAGGGAATTACAGATATTCCTTTTTTGAGAGGTGAGTCATATGACATTTTATTGTATAATTTCAGGTACTAAAAATAACTTGATAAAAAAAAGTGAAAATTGGGTAATTTTTCTATTTGTCACATGACTTAAGGCCGTATTTTAAAGACTTAAGGCACGATCAACTTTTGGCAACTTTTAGTATTAAAAGTAACTTTTCTTATAATTTAAAAACTTTAATTACAAAAGTGAAACACTTTGTAAGTATTTGGGAAAATATCGATTATTAACAACTACACATTATCAGCAAGTTGGCGAATAACCTGTTTAAACTTATTTATTAATTAGCACTATTGAGTATTTTCTGAGGAATTCTCTAAAAAAAAGTCATACGTCACTTTGAACGTTAATAACTATTATCATGGAAAGAATTTTCAAAATTATGATGTAATTTATATGAGAGAACATATTCAACCCTAATATAAAATTTAACTACATTAAAATGGAATAAAAGTTTTTAATTTCCATAAAGATTTCGATTACTTGTGATCATTTCATTTTTTCATACTCCTACAAGATGCCTTTGAACAAGTTTTTGAGCTCAAGGCTAATTTTTTGAATTGACTCACGAATTACTTCCATTCATACACCTACTCTGAATACTTTTAAGGATGAGACATAGTGCATAAACATTTATCTGTTTATATTTCTAAAAGATTTTAAAAATAAATCACAATATTGCACCTGAATTCAATACGTGGAATTAAATTTATTTAATTTAGGTGTAAAATTAATAAATTTTTATTGTCGATAACTTTTACTAATGGACGATATTTTTGAAAAAAGTAATTTGTATAAGACAAAAAATTAATGCAGAATTTAGGAATTTCTCTCGTCTTCAAAAAAATTTGTTTCAAGCTTAAAACACTGCGAATCAAATGAAGTGAACGGTTTTCATAAATTGTACTGGTACCTTATTTGCTCAGCCAGACCGCTTAACTCTTGAAGTCGATTCGATTTTTCCGCATTGAAGCTCTGCGTAAAAATCGCATCGACTTATTTGACATCAAGATAATGGGTCTCAACAAATTTTTCTGGATTTTATTCCAGTGATACAATTGCTTAAAAATTGCTATTATTTAAAATAATATTTATCTATTAAATAAATAATAAAGAAAATATAAATTCTCATTCAAACAATTTATTATTTACAACATTTACTAATAAGGAAGAAAAAATTTTTGGGAACCAAAGTAAAAAAGATTTAAGATTAAAGGGAAAAAAATAGGACTATAGGTACAAACTGATATTTTAGTTTTCATGTAAATAAATTATATGTAAATTATATTACATATATGTGTATGATTTCTGTGATAGTAATAACGAAATAGATGTCTCAAGCTAAACCAAGATGCTATGAATTGTATGTTAATTTATGCTAAATAATCTTCAACTTGAATGTACCATACGTCATTAAGTCTTTAATTGGTAACGTTCAAGATTTTACTACGATTACTTTCTTAATTAAACGTACTTTTCTTTTTTTTCTACAATATGGCCAAATCGAAAATGTTTACAATTTATTTTCAAGTTCTTGTGTTATTCTCACGAGTGTGAATGATAAAACATCACTATTTTTTTAATTGATGAAGCTGACTTGCTACAACATTCAGAAAATAAAATAATTTCTTTGAAAAAAATTAATATTATAGTAAATTTTTCTAAATAATTAGTGGAATTTGCTTCCTAAATTTTTTTGGGAAAATTTCCAATATTTTTCTTACAGTGAACAGAAAAATTGAGAATATTTCTTCTTTAAATTGAAAAAATAGTTTCAATTAAACAATTTTTCGTCTGAAGAAATTTTTAACAAAAGTTCGAATTTTATTTTAGCTATTTTCTAAAATCACTTAAAGGGAAAAGTTGTTGCAAATAGAAAACGTGTCCTTTAGTATAGAGAAAGATTTAAAAATAATGAGTTCCACAAAGGACGTGACAGTTATTCTCGCATGGAAGGAGAGAGTGAGGGGGTAAGAGTCAGAAATTTTGAAAAAGTATTGGACATCATTTGTGTTACTCAGGAACAAATGAAATATTTGTTCATTTAAAGATTAAATATTCATGTCAATAAAAGTCCTTATATAAAATTTATACACTATAATTATAGCTTGCATACTCTCCAAGATCTTTACATAATTTTTTTTATATAATATGCTTATTTTTTTGATTACATGCGTAGTATTTTTAAACTGACTACTATTTCAATCTCTAATCTCTCCAAGCTGCACCTAGATATCAAGGTGTAAAAAAATTATTGTATTGATAATCGTAATATTGTTAAATTATAGTAATCGAAATGCCTGCTGCAAAATAACATTACTTATTGAAATTAAGGTAATGTTCGGGTAATATTACGAATGTTCAATCTACATTCTGTTAGGGTTACCGAAACTATAGAACTGCTATTTCAAAAATGAGTCCGACTCTGAATTTTTTTATACTGAAAGTTCGAATTCGATTCTGGGGAATCCCAATGACGTATTAAAATGTCTCATAAGTTATTCTTGTTGAATTCCTACTTGAAAACAGTATCCTGACATTGGCTCAATATATTAATGAAACATTAATACATGATGAGAGCCATCCAATTTGAAAATTAATTTTTTTTTTAACAGGAATGTAACTGATTTTTTTTTTTTGCTGTCACATGGAATATTCCTCATCAACCACGATAAATATTCACAAAGTCATTATAAGCAGTTCAAAGAATAAAGATTAATTTCTACTCGAATATAATCTCCAGTAAAAATCTTGGAATTCACAGCAATAATGATTCCGGTTTCATTCATTCCAAACTAAGATGAGTCTTCTATTGACCAAAAAACAAGCGTCTGAATATTTAACTCCGGGTGAATAAACAAACTTATTATAATAAATTATTTTAAAAGTGTCGACTTCCATCATTGCAGTTATGTTACGTTATATCATTTTACCGAGTCGATACGTCTTTTATGATAAATAATTTTAATTCTTATCATCAATTTTGATGTGAGAAGCAAAAAAAAAACTTTCTGAGTCATTGCGCAAATGTCACGAGCAAATTTTCCTTAAAATAGAATTTATATTTTTAGATAAATTATTTAAGAATAATTAAAATTCAATGACTCACCTGATCGTTAAACTCCTGTTGGGTTGTGTATCCGTTGACACAATGCTGTTTGGAGACACAAATTTTATTTTGATTTTTGCAGCTGACAGTAAAGCCGTTATTTGCTTCGAATGGTTGTTGGCTAAACTGGTCCGGAGAATTAGGGAATTTTGAAGAATCTGGTTCATTAGCGAACTGATCCGGGAATTCTGAAATCTGGTCTGTTTCCACCACCAGGGGAGTCAATATTACAGATCCGGATCCTGGCTTCAAGAAAGGATTGTTTTTCTCAATATTTACAGAGACTGGTCGAGTAGGTTGGGCTGATGGGAAGGTTGGCGTCTTCGGTAAATGGGAATTCTGAAGAAAAATACATAAATATTTGCATATCACACAGTAAAGAAAGTTGGAGGTTTAGTTTTATTGCGTGTTTTTAAAAAAAGCTAGGAGACAAACAAAATAATAAATCTGCATAACTTACTATTCCAACAGATGCAACTGCAGAAGCTTGGTTGAAAAAGGGATTCCCCGGATTGCTGATCGAGTTTCGTTGATCTTTGGCATGCATATTAGCGTTTCCCTTTTTAAGACCAAATGTAGCGGTAGCAACACAAGAAGTTGAGGTACATCCACTTTCTTGATTATTCAAGAAGGGATTACTAGACTCTTTTTTTTCATAATAGTATCCTTCTTCTTCAGGATCACTTAATTTGGCAGATTCCTCATCAATGTTTGTATTGAGATTTTGCTGCTGGACTTGATTGAAATCAAAATTCGTTGTTGCTTCGAACGGAAGAGATTCTTGATTTAATTCACTAAGTTTGTCTGAATTACCCTCCTTGTAATGATAACCATCTTTCTGAAGAGTACTCGAATACGGCAGTGCATTCGCTTTATAGACTAACGCTACTGCAATCAGCAGTAGTGATACACTTCCTTTCATTTTGAAGACCTAAAATTTAAAAATTCACCAATTTTAATCAAGTTCCTCTATTGTGAAAAATAGTTTGCTTTATAGGTTTTATATCCCGTTTTTTCCGACATTCTTATGTAAAGAAAAGGAGATAAAATTCATGTAAGAAGCAATTAAAGAAAAGTGTATGTGCGGCAGAAAATAATTTAAAAAAAAACACGATAATTTTTTTTTTTTTAAATATGCTTAATGATGTAATACCATAAGACAGAAATGAAGAATGATTTTCCCTTATGACTATATTATAGCTTCATTAAAGATTTATGAAAAATTAAAAATTTCAAATAAACATAAAATGGTAGAACTAGGCAAATTTTTCATCCTAATGACTAAACTATTACTATTCAAAGTATAATTTGAAATATTTGAAAATAAATTAAATAAATAATAAAGACGATTTTTATCAGACTTTTATTTTCAATTTTTTATTTGTTATAATTGTTCTGCATAACTGAACATTATAGAATATTTAAAAAATATTTACTTTACGGCAATAAAACGTTTTTAATATGTATTTGAAAAACCAACAAAGTATGATCGTAAAGTAATAAATGCTATATACAAAGATGTGTAAATGACCGTAAATGGCTAGATCGAGCCTTCAACTTTGCAGACCTCGATCTTGAATGTAATAGAATGTCATTGCGATCATTTATTACAAGTGAATTTCTTGCATGAAATGTTTCATTGATAAATCAATTTAAAGAAATGAAGTCATATTGTAAATTGTAACATGTTTACTTGTTTGAAATTTTTATGCAAAAACAAAAATAATAATTTTTCAAAGGGATTACTATCAATTACGATATTTGAAACAATTGAAATCTATTGAATTTCTAATCGAATTAGAAATTGAAACAGTTTTTCAAATTTATTTATGGAAGAGTAATGAAAAAATGAATGAGAACAGTTCACTCTAGGGGTTGAAAAACATGAATGAAAATGTGCTATTCACTGGCGAGTGTTTACAATCACTGGTATTTCACCAACCACAAAAAGTTTATTATTTGCAAGCACAAGGAATTCACTAAAAATTTGAAATGCGAGTAGTTGATTTTGTTGATTTCAAGTATAACGGACCATTGACGAGATTGTTGTGTCTGCTCGTTACTCGTTACCTACGCGATCCGCAACGCATGTGAATCGCACACGTCTTACCGAACTATATACCTTGAGGAAGGTTGGATGGGAGGTTGGATATGGTACTCACCTGATGTACGTGTCCTCTGAAAATTACACGTATATGAAGCTTAAAAGAAAGTCAGGGTGACTGGCGACGCCTCTACATTCCGGCTTCTCTTATACCATCCTTCATCCCCACTATACGTATACACTATTGGGCGCCTCCTGTCCTTCGGGTTTACGTGGTGGTCCATTCTCATGTGAATCGCATATTCACGTATGTAGTTGAAATCTTCACGAGTCACCGCTTTGAAATTCCTTAATTTCAATGATGATGATGATATGAATGAGTAAAAAAAAGTTCCATAGTCGGGCACCACTTCTGCACTTTCCGGATGCGGTATAGATCACTGCAATATATTATATTTTACAAGTCATCGGGAATTGGCACCCGCAACCTTGATTGGAATGCGAAAATACGTCATCCCATCAGAAACTTCTTGCAGGCAGAGATTAACTTTTGCTTTTATGATAAATATATACAAAATAGTCCACTTTGTTTACTAGCACTTGTTTTTTACCACATCAGGTCTCGAACCAGTAAAAGTATTCAAAAATAGTAAAATACGGACATTACGGACCAACTGACAAAAATATAACCAGTCCGAGTCAAATAAGAGAACATTTTACTTAAAACTAGAAATTTAATATTTCATAAATAAAACATGAAAGACACTGATTCGATTTGACTCGCTTTCTTCATGTTTTACAATAATTAAGATGATTCAAGCACTTTTAACTAAAATTCTTCTTTAAATCGATTAATTATTAATCGCTGTATTCCCATAATCTGTTCGCAGTTTAAAGTTAGTTTTTGTTTGCTTTTTTGTTTCTTAACTTTTTTAATAATTTTTATATAGAATTTTCAATTTTAAAATTAATGTATAAAAAATCATCCAATTGTTGCAAAGAATTTTAAGAAAAAATTTGAAAGTAATAAAATTCCTTCGAAGAATTTTATTATTTAGGAAAATAATTGAATTCTCCCGATGCATTTTGTTAAAATTTTTAAAAATTCTAATTAAATTGTTTTTGAAGAATTTCTTTGAATTTTTTTAAATAATGGAGTTTCTTTAAAAATTTTTTAAATAATTGAATTTTATAAACAATTTTTTTCAAGTTTTTTTTGTAAAAAAATCGTATTTGACAATAATTGAAATTAAATATCTAATTATTGAATTTTATTAAAATTTTAGAAAATAATTGAATTCTTTTGAAAAATTTTATATCAAATTAGGAAAAAAATTGGAAGAAAAAAAAATTTTATTATTTAATATAGGGGAGAGTGGGGCAAACCGGCCATACTAACGGTTTTTTTACTCTTGTGACCAAGCGAATCAACCGATTTCATTTTTCGATGGCTTGTTTGAAAGATCACTTAATTGCGCAACTTTTTCCCAGAGACACATATACTTTATTTTTTATTGTTTAGTTGCTGTGTTAACTTTAAAAAATTTTGCAAAAGGTCCGGTTTGCCCCACCCCCTGGGGTAAACCGGACCGTTTGGTTTTTTATTTATAATATTGCATTTACATAATCTACAATAATAAAAAACATAAAGAATCATGTAAACAATGGTTGTAGTAATGAAAATAATAATACGGGATTGAATTTTAATTAAATAAATATTTTTTTTAACAAAAAAATAAAAATATTTGTCATTATCAGAGAAACAATATTAAAGGGTCCAATTCTCATTGGAAAAAGTAAAAGTGTAGAAAAAAACTAAAAAAAAAACTTTTGCTCCCTTCGTCGCACAAACGCAAGCTAAAACTGTCAGATTGAAAAAAAGGTATACTAAATATGGTTGTTTTAAATTTGTAAACAACACTTTTGACTATTTCGCCATTTCGGAAATATTGAGACCAGTCCGGTTTGCCCCACTCTCCCCTATTTATAAATATAATTAAATTGTTTCGAAGACCTATTAAAAGTTTAGAAAATAATTGAATATTTTTGAAAGATTTTACAACGAATTAAGAATAAAATTAAATTTTTTCGTGAAATTATTTTGAATATAATTGAATTTTTGCAAAGAATTTTACTATTTATAAATATAATTGAATTGTTTCGAAGGATTTAAAAACATTTTTTAAATAATTAAATACTTTTGAAATATTTTATAACGAATTAAATTAAATTTAAATACATTTTTCGAGGAATTCGATTAAATTGTATTAAAAATAATTGAAATTTTGCAATGAGTTTTATTATTAATGAAAATAATTGAATTTTAAAAAAGAATTTTATTATTTACGAAAATAATTGAATTCCTGTAGAAATTTTATTATATTTATGAAAATAATTGAATGATTGCGAAGAAATTTATAAAAAATTTGTAAATAATTAAATTCCTGTGTAATTTTGTAATTATTTTATGAAAATAATTAAAGGTTTGCATAGAATATTATTAAATTTTTTTAAATAATTGCATTTTTTTGAAAAATTGTATTAAAGCAATAGATATTCAAAATCATTTAATTGGGGAAAATTTTTTAAAATAATTGAAATTTTGTCAAGAATTCTATCAAAATGTTTGAAAATAATTGAATTTTGAAGAAGAATTAACTTATTTCTAAAGATAATTGAAACTTTGACGGGAATTTTAAAAACTTTTTGAACATAATTTACTTTCTACGAAGAATTTAATTACTTTTGAAAATAATTGAATTTCTGAAATCATTTGTAATATTTCTCTAAAATTCTCCAAATTATATCGTACAATTCAGGAACTTTTCGTCCCTTTTCAATCAAATTCCACTGTGTTTGAAAAATTTGAATAAACATAGGAAAAACTACGTATGCAAAAAGCACGTTCTTGCATTGTATGACATTATTTTGTTGAATTCGATATGATTACATGTCGCTAAACAAACATTTAAAAATGAATGTAGCGTAATAGACTCTTTGTTGAAAAATTCAAAATTTTCATTAGATTTCTATTTTATTCAGAATAAAATTTGGAATTTGCCTTATCAAAATTTCGATAAATTAAAATTGCTAAATAAAGAAATCGACTTTCTACAATTTGCCGTCAGTGCAGAAATAGAAATCTGTGTAAAGGAACCGTTTATACTGATCAAAACTCTAGGTGGGAATTTTCACTCATAATTTTATTGAAAAAAAAAATTACGTAAGAGAAGAGTTTGATTCCGGAAACGTGTTATGAGAAAAATTTTGCCTGTAATAAATTTAATCGTTTATATTTCACAAATATTCATATAAATAAATCTTCTGCGCTAAGTTAACTATAGAATTATTCTACAACTTTTAAATAGTATACTATTTATAGTGTTTTATACCATAGTTATATTATTCACATTAAATTTATTATTTCTACACAGAGAAAAGCGAGTGTTGTTTTTGATGCGGGTAAATTTTGGTAGGGTAATTTTAGTGAGGATAAATTTTCTATAATAGAAAATTTACCTTATTTTCGGTGTTAAAATAACACTTCCGAGCTAAAGTTTGATGCAGACACTTTTAACACCGAATTCAGTGTTAAAATGACACTCACTTTTTTCTGTGTATAAAATATAATTTATACAAATAATAACTTTAATATAAAAACAAATTTAAAAAAAAAATTTTTTTTATTGATTGAATTTTGAATTTAAGTTTCCAAATTACGTTAACCTTAAAATTAATTAATGCACAAAATTAATTTAATAATGTCAAGGTCACTCAGATGTTTAAGAATCTTTTCTGTGAAGTTTACATTTTTCTAGACGATGAGCCTGCGACTTGTTTTCTTTTAAACTTTTATAATATTTAGGTATTATTTCTAGTGGTTGGACAAATATTAAAATTAATATAAGCACTATAATAATATTTTTATCATTATTTTAAACTATTTTTAAATTTACGATTTCCTTTTATTTGACAAGTTTGTCCTTAAAAAATAATAATAAAATTATGAGGAAATTGCCCGAAAGTACATCCCACTTTTTTATTTACATTTCTTATAAAACTAAATGCCAGTAGCTCATTGAAGAATATGATGCAAGAATACACTTATAGGGATACTCATTAAAAAGAAATATGACTAAAAGAAAAAAATCTAGTCATTAATAACTATATCTCTAATTTCTACTTGAGTACCTAGAATTTGCATCAAACTAAATCATTAATTTAAATATTCTATTTTCATACGTTTTTTTTATTTCCCTGTTTTTTGATTAATGCTTTTAAATAAAAAACATAATAATAGCGACAGAATAGAGGCTGGAAAAAATTAAGAAAGAATAAGAGCAACGTATACAGAATAAAAGAAGCAGTATATATCCTAAGGCATTTTACAAATAATAATAATTTACTAATGAGTTACATCGTCAGATATAAACAAGGATGTTCTCATGGTATTAAGTGTTAATTTAAATCTTTTGAAAGACTATTGCTATATATTTTATAAGCATAGCAATTTATTTTCAAGTATTAATATAAATTAAAAATTTTTTTTAAAAAAACGTAAATACTTAATGTATGAGAACATTTAGATTTATATCATATAATATCAAAAGTTAATTTTAACAAAACGTAAATCTTTTTTTTTTTTTTTTTTTTGATTTACCAATTTGATTGTTATCTAATTGTACTAGAACAAAATCCTATCGTCGAGTGCTGCAGTAATTAGACCTGGGATTCTCTCACAAGATAAGAATGAAAATTTTGTAAAAGGCGGTTCAACATTTTTAAATCTTCGCATAGATGCCTATCATTTCTTAAATTATAGAATCAAAAGACAGGAAATTTCGAATAATATTCCAGTGCTGAATCCTTATTGTGGCAATTGATTGGCGTTGAAAAAAAAGCATTAAGTATTCCTCAGCGAGCCTTAGCATTCAAATTTAAATATTCTGCTTTGAGATAGGATATTCAATTTTCTTCGAATCACTCATCATAATTATCATCCTTAATATTTAACAACATTCTTATAAAGATAATTAAAAAGTCGAATCTTTTGCCAATGAAGCGAATTGTTAAGCTTAATAATACCG